TGTTCTGTTTCTCTTTGTTTGTCTCTCTTTCTCGCTCTCTCTGCCTCTGTCCCTCTCTCTGTCTGTCTGTCTCTCTCTCTCTCTCTCTCTCTCTCTCTCTCTCTCTCTTCTCTCTCTCTCTCTCTCTCTCTCTCTCTCTCTCTCTCTCTCTCTCTCTCTCTCTCTCTCTCTCTCTCTCTCTCTCTCTCTCTCTCTCTCTGCTCTCTCTCTCTCTCTCTCTTCTCTCTCTCTCTCTCTCTCTCTCTCTCTCTCTCTCTCTCTCTCTCTCTCTCTCTCTCTCTCTCTCTCTCTCTCTCTCTCTCTCTCTCTCTGATTTCTTTACCTCACTCTCTTCTATCTCTTCTTGCTCTCCACTCTCTCCTCTGTCTTGTTGTTTGTCTCTCTCTCTCTCTCTCTCTCTCTCTCTCTCTCTCTCCTCTCTCTCTCTCTCTCTCTCTCTCTCTCTCTCTCTCTTTGCTCTCTCTCTCCTCCTCTCTCTCTCTCTCTTTGTATCTATCTATATAGTCATCTATCTTTACCTCTTTCAATTTATCTTTCGTTTAATCTTCTCTCTCTAATCTTTCTCTCGCATGTATATATATCTACAGTATATACACGTGTGTGTGTGTCTGTACTGTGTATTCACGTGTGTGTGTATGTCTGTGTGTATGTGTGTGTCTGTATTGTGTATACGTGTGTGTGTGTGTATGTTTGTGTGTGTGCGTGTGTGTGTCTGTATTGTGTATGCGTATGTGTATGTGTACGTCTGTGTGTGTGTGTGTCTGTATTGTGTATGCGTGTGTGTATGTGTACGTCTGTGTGTGTGTGTGTCTGTATTTGTGTATGCGTGTGCGTCGTGTGTGTGTGTGTGTGTGTTGTGTGCGTGTGTGTGTGTCTGTATTGTGTAATGCGCGTGTGTGTTGTGTGTGTATGTGCGTGTGCGTGTATGTGTATATGCGTGTGCTGTGCGTGTGTGTTGCCGCGTAACCCCACCGCCGCCATTACCTCCACCAGCGCCTCCTCGTCGTCCCAGGAGGCCCTCAAGACGCCCACGAACTGAAAGAAGATCCTGCGCGCCAGATAGGCCGGGGAATCCCCGTCCTCGAGGAAGAGCATCTCGGGAACGGCCGTCGGGAAAGTGGGTCGGTGACGTATCGCTGGAATTCGGCCTCGAGAAGAAGTCTTGGGGGTGGGGGAGGGGGGAGGGAGGGAGAACGAGTTTTAGATTTTCTTTGAATTATCTGTTATTATCATTATTATCAAACACACACACCCACACACATATATTTTTTTTCTTATTTTTTTCTTTTTTTAAGCGTTGATATTACTTAAATACAGGAATTTCATTTAAACACACGTAGGACACAAGCAAATACAGACACACATACAGAAATAATGATAAAGATAAAGAATACAGAAAGAGAATAAAGAGACAGTCAAAGACAAAGAGAAAATAGATAGAAGAATGTAATACATCCAGAAAAGAGACAGAGACATTCAGACAAACAGTAACAGACAGACAGACAGAACCAGAAGCAGACAGACAGACAGAGGAAGAAAGACAAACAGGAGACTTGCAACAGACAGTAACGAGAGAGACGAGAAATAGAGAAACAGAGAGACAGACAGAAACAGACCGACATGCAGATAGACAGAGGAAGATAGAGAAACAGAGAGACATATACAAACAGTAACGGAGACAGAAATAGAGAAACAGAGAGACAGACAGAGGAAGATAGACAAACAGAGAGACGCATACAGACAGTAACAGAGAGACAGACAGAAATAAACAGAGACACAGAAACAGATAGAGGAAGATAGACAAACAGAGAAACAGAGAGACGCATACAGACAGTAACAGAGCGAAACAACAGAGAAACAGAGAAACAGAGAGAGCAACAGAGAAACAGAGCAGATAGACAGAAAACAGAACCGACATGCAGACAGACAGAGGAAGGATAGAGAAACAGAGAGAGACGCATTACAGACAGTAACAGAGAGACAGACAGAAATAAACAGAGACACAGAAACAGACAGAGGAAGATAGACAAACAGAGAGACGCATACAGACAGTAACAGAGAGACAAACAGAAACAGAGAGACAGACAAAAGAATAGAGAAACAGCAGAGAGACAGACAGAAACAGACCGACATGCAGACAGACAGAGGAAGATAGAAAAACAGAGAGACGCATACAGACAGTAACAGAGACAGACAGAAATAGAGAATCAGAGAGACAGACAGAGGAAGATAGACAAACAGAGAGACGCATACAGAGTAACAGAGAGACAAACAGAAACAGAGAGACAGACAAAAATAGAATAAAGAGAAACAGAGAGACAGACAGAAACAGACCGACATGCAGACAGACAGAGGAAGACAGAGAAACAGAGAGACGCATACAGACAGTAACAGAGACAGACAGAAATAGAGAATCAGAGAGACAGACAGAGGAAGATAGACAAACAGAGAGACGCATACAGGTACAGCAGAGAACAACAGAAACAGAGAGACAGACAAAAATAGAGAAACAGAGAGACAGACAGAAACAGACCGACATGCAGACAGACAGAGGAAGACAGAGAAACAGAGAGACGATTACAAAGAACAAGAGACAAACAGAAACAGACAGGCACAACCAGACGACCAACCAGACGACCAGCCAGACAGACAACCAGACAGACAGATTCAGCAGGGCCCCGAGGCGAGGCCCCTGCTCCACCCACAGTCCACGAAGGCGGCGCCCTCGTGCTGCGCCGTGCCCGAGAGGATGTCGACGGCGCTGTACCTCCCCTCCTGCAGCAGCGTCGCCGGGGGGGCTGGCAGGAACACCCCGTCGACCCGCGGCGCGAACTCCGAGATCTTCAGCTCCTGAAGAAGGAGGAGGAGGAGGAGGAGGATGTGGGTCATGGCGAGTGGCTGGGGGCGGGGGTTTGGGTGGGGTGGTGGGGCTTCGGTTGGGGGCGTTGGTTATGGGGGTGGTAGGTGATGGTGCGTTAGGGGGGGGGTTATGTACACATGAACGCTCACACACACACACACACACACGCACACACACACACACACACACACACACACACACACACACACACACACACACACAACACACACATTCATATATGTATACATGTATGTATATGTATATATACTGTAAAAATAGACCCATATACATGCGAAGGAGGAGGTAAGGAAAGATGATGAAACGAGGGATTACACGAGAGAGAAGGAGAGAAACAGAGAGATAATGACACAGAGAAACAGATAGACAGACATTAGACAAAGATAAAGGAGACAGACAAAGACATAGATAGAGAAAGGCAAAAAAAAAAAGACGAAAAAAAAAAGGAAGTAAATAATAAGAAAAAAAAAGGAAGTAAATAAGAAGAAGAAAAAAAGAAAGTGAATAATAATGATAATAATAATAATAATGATAAATAGAAAGCGTCCTTCCTTCCTCACCGCACTGGGCAGCTCCAGCAGGACGTGCACGGGCGTCTCCTGCAGGCACCTCAGGAGTCCTTGGCTGTCGAGGGCGGGGAAGGAGGCGTCGGAGCAGTTCAGTTTCTGCAGGACTTCGATGGCCATCTTGGCCATCACGCACACATACACACTCATATGTGTGTGTGTGTGTATATATACTGTAAATATAGCCACATATACATGCGAGGGAGGAGGTAAGGAAAGAGAATGAAACGAGGGATTTACACGAGAGAGGGAGAGACACAGACAGACATTAGACGAAGCCAAAGAAGACAGACAAAGACACAGAAAGAGAGAGGCCAAAAAAAGACCAACAAAGCGAGAGAGAAAGCGTCCTTCCTTCCTCACCGCACTGGGCAGCTCCAGCAGGACGTGCATGGGCGTCTCCTGCAGGCACCTCAGGAGTCCTTGGCTGTCGAGGGGCGGGAAGGAGGCGTCGGAGCAGTTCAGTTTCTGCAGGACTTCGATGGCCATCACGCACACATACACACTCATGTGTGTGTGTGTGTGTGTATATATACTGTAAATATAGCCACATATACATGCGAGGGAGGAGGTAAGGAAAGAGAATGAAACGAGGGATTTACACGAGAGAGGGAGAGACACAGACAGACATTAGACGAAGCCAAAGAAGACAGACAAAAACAAAGAAAAAGAGAGACCAAAAAAGACCAACAAAGCGACAGAGAAAGCGTCCTTCCTTCCTCACCGCACTGGGCAGCTCCAGCAGGACGTGCACGGGCGTCTCCTGCAGGCACCTCAGGAGTCCTTGGCTGTCGAGGGGCGGGAAGGAGGCGTCGGAGCAGTTCAGTTTCTGCAGGACTTCGATGGCCATCTTGGCGTGGTTGGCGGCCGTGGCCCAGGGACACAGGGCCGAGCCGGACTGCAGGATGGCGCGGGCGAACAGGCCTGGGGAGGGAGGAGAAGGGAGAAGTAATTAATAAAGATGAAGAACTGCGGGAGGAGATGGAAAAGAGTGAAAAGAGAGATGAGAGTGAGAGGGCGAGGAAGAGGAGTGGGAGAGAAAGGAGAGTGAGAAGAAGAAAGAGAGAGGAGAGGAGTGGGACGAGGAAGGAGGGGTGAGAGGGAAGAAAGAAAGAGGGAGGAGTAGGACGAGGAAGGAGGGTGAGAGGAAGAAAGAAAGAGGAAGAGGGAGTGGGAGGAGGAAGGAGGGGGTGAGAGGGAAGAAAGAGAGAGGAAGAGGAGTGGGACGAGGAAGGAGGGGTGAGAGGGAAGAAAGAAAGAGGGAGGAGTAGGACGAGGAAGGAGGGGTGAGAGGGAAGAAAGAGAGAGGAAGAGGAGTGGGACGAGGAAGTAGAGGTGAGAGGGAAGGGGAGGAGAAAGAAAGAGGATGGAGAGGGGAGAAGAAAATAAATCAATAAGTATAAATAGATAAACAAAAAAAAAACACAAGACAACTGACCTTTGACCCCGGAGAAAGGATATGGAAGTGCACCGACGCCCCCCCAGCTGACTCCCCGAAGATGGTGACCTTGTCCGGGTCGCCGCCGAGGTCACGGATGTTGTCCTTGACCCAACGGAGGGCCATCGCCTGGTCCTTCAGCCCCAGATTTCCTGGCAGCACAGCGTCCTCCGTGGATAGGAATCCTGGGTCAAGGAGGGCTTGTCAGAGTCGAACACGTTTGGAACATGTTGGGGAATTGGGACTTTTTTGTTTGTTTTTGTTTGTCTTTCTCTGTCTGTCTTGCTCTCTCTCTCTCTCTCTTTTTTTTGTTAGTTTGTTTTTCTTTCTCTGTCTTGCTCTCTCTCTCTCTCTCTCTCTCTCTCTCTCTCTCTTCTCTCTCTCTCTCTCTCCTCTCTCTCTCTCTCTCTCTCTCTCTCTCTCTCTACTCTCAACACACACACACACACACACACCCATATATGTATATATGGTGTGTGTGTGTGTATATACATAAAGAGAAAGTAAAAAAAAAAAAAAAAAAAAAAAAAAAAAAAAAAAAAAAAATATAATATATATATATATATATATATATATATATATTATATATTATATATATATTTATATAGAGAGAGAGAGAGAGAGAGAGAAGAGAGAGAGAGAGAGAGAGAGAGAGGAGAGAGAGAGAGAGAGAGAATATTATAATAAAAATAAATATATAGAATAAAAAAAAAACATACCTTACTTTCACCGCCAAAAAACACCCTCCCCCCCCCCCCGATACTGCACGGCCACGACGACCAGGGCGCCCCGTCGGCCAGGCGCGGGTGGGGGGCGCCGCTCCCCGACTTGAAGCCCCCGCCGTGGAACCACACCAGCACGCGGCGAAGGCGGCCGTGGGGTGGGGGGGGGCTGGGGAGGGGAGGAGAAGGATGGGGGAGGAGGGGAGGAAGGATGGGAGGGAAGGAAGGATGGGGGAGAGTAGGTGGAAGGGGAATGGGGGGAGAGGGAGGAAGGATGGGGAGGAGGAGGAGAGAAAGAGAAGGAGGAGAACAGAAGAAGTAGGAACAGAAGAAGTAGAAGAAGGAGAGGAGAAGAAGAGAGAGAAGAGGAAGAAGGAAGAAGAAGGAGGAGGAGGTGGAGAAGAAAGAAGGAAGAGGAGAAGTAGAAGAAGGAGGAGAGAAGAAGAAGAGGAGGAGGAGGAGAAGAGAAGAGAGGAGGAAGAAGAAGAAGAAGGAGAAGGAGGAGGAGAAGAAGTAGAGGAAGAGGAGAAAGAAGAAAAGAGAAAGAAGAGAAGGAGGAGAGGAGGAGAAGAAGAAGAAGGAGAGAGGAGAAAAAGAAGAAGGAGGAGAGGAAGAGAAGAAGTAAAAGAAGAAGGAGGAGCAGGGTAATTAGTTAATTGGTAGAATGGGGATGAAAAGGAGGAAGATAAATAGGATGGAGATAAGAAGGATAAATAGGAGGATGGGAAGGAGGTGGAGGAGGATAATTATGATTAGTTATGAGCGACAGTGACTGATCTGCCACGAGTGATAAGAATGGTGATGGTGCTGACACTGATAACGACAATGATAATAATTATGATAAGGGTGATTATCATTATTGTCATATATATTTTTTATTTATTTATTTATTTCCTTTATTTCCGCATTTTCTCTCTCATTGTTTCCCCCTTTCTCTCTCTCATCCTCATCTCCCTCATTCTCTCTTCACCTTCTCTCTCATCATCTCCCTATCTCCCCATTCTCTCTCTCTCTCATTCTCTCATCTCCTTTTACTCCTCACCCTCTCCCTCATTTTCTCTGTCTCCTTTTTTCTCTCCTCAACATCTCCCCTATTCTCTCTCTCACTCACTCTCTCACCATCTCCCTCATTCTCTCCTCAACATCTCCCTCACTTTCTCCCTCTCACTATCTCCCTCATTCTCTCCTCGACATCTCCCTCATTCTCTCCCCGTCTCCCCCATTCTCTCTCACTATCTCCCTCATTCTCTCCTCGACATCTCCCTCATTCCTCTCCCGTCTCCCCATTCTCTCTCACCATCTCCCTCATTCTCTCCTCGACATCTCCCTCACTCTCTCCCCGTCTCCCCCATTCTCTCTCACCGCCCCTCTCTCTCACCATCTCCCTCATTCTCTCCTCAACATCTCCCTCACTCTCTCCTCGTCTCCCCCATTCTCTCTCTCATCCCCCTCTCTCTCACCATCTCCCTCATTCTCCCCTCCCCTCCCCCTCCCCCTCACTTCCCTCACTAACGATACCTCCTTCAGGAACTTACCTTCGGGGTGTAGACGCTGAGGAACAGGCAGTCCTCCTGGCCCCTGGTGACGAAGGAGCCGCCCTCGTACTCTCGCTGGGGGCACCGACGGGGAGTTACGGTGCCATCGCGGACGCCTGGCCATGGGGGGGCTGCCACGGGGTCCTGGGGGGAAGGGGGGGAGGGAAAGGGGAGGTTTGGCGACGGTTGGTTCAAAGATTATGTTTTATTTTTTGTTCCCTATTTGTCTTTGTCATTTTCCTTTTTGGTTTCTTTATTTCTCCCTTTCTCGTTTGTCTGTCTATTTATGTATCTATTTATCTATCTATTCATGTATCTATTTATCTATCTATTCATGTATCTATTTATCTATCTATTCATG